ATGTAATAAGCCATTGAAGACTCCTAATTTTCACCGGTCGGATCATCTTGAATTTCTTCCACGGGATCTGTGTAATTATGTCGGCTTCCTGGCCTATTAACTTTCCCCATCTGGCTTTGATTACTGGTTCTGGATCTTTAGTTTTCAACAAGAACCTGTAGCCCGTCCTAACCGTGTAGTTCTGGATAGGGATAGTCATCGAGATGTTTTTCCCCTTATCCGGCTTCCAGGCCCACTCCGCTGGGTCGAACTCTAGATTGTGAATCGCTGTGTCCGGACGGTAGATGAACTTCGGCCATGAGCCCAAGACCCTCACTTTTCTGATCAGGAAGAAATCTAGCGTGACCGTTTCCACGTTCATGTTTAGTATCTCAGGCATGCCCTGTTTCGCTTGGGAGATTGGAAAGGCGGTGAAAACAGCTTGGGTGGCTGTTCCCGGTTGTAGGTGTGAGAACTGGAATGCGCGTGACCATGTATTCTCTTGAACTTTGAGCCCCCATTCTCCACATTTCCGTGGCGGCGCCTCTCTCAAAATAGTCTTCCATTCCTGAGGCACAAGGTTGATGATATGCTGAAGATTACCCCCTCGTTTGTGACAGCCTTTTAGCCGCCTACTCAAGTCCTGATCAGTTACCCATTCTTTCTTTTCTTCATTTCATAGGTGGCTAATCTTCCATACTCCGTTCTTTACCCATGATAGCCTCTTGTGGTCTAAAAACAGGGGCTCATCACTTTCATCTTTCATCCATTCATTACCGAACAGCGGTTGTCTCAAGACCTCGTCTTTTGACTTCGGCCTGTTGTTTTTTTTTGGCATTATTTCTCTCCATATCCGCATCAGGGCCGTCCAATACGAGGTTTTGCCTCCGGATGCGATCACCTCAGGGTCTCTTCTAGGTCTTCTTCGTAATGGTTTCAGATTCCATCCTTTGTTCATGACCCAAAACAAGCCTGACATGTTCTCAGGTGATGTCACTGGGGCCAAAGCTCTTATGCTGTCAAGACTCAAGAGCTAGTTTATTCCATGCCGTGTCTGGTTTCATCAGTAGCGTGACTATGTATTGCAATTCTAATTATTTCTATATAATATGTTTTTTGAACTTTTTCTTTCCTGGAATTTTTTGATTTTTTTCCCCCTTGACGCTGGGGCTGCCAGGAACTCTGCCTGGGGTTCATGCCCGGCCGAGCACCTGGGCGTGTGTGCGGTCACAAGCTGGGTGCCTGGGCGCCCGGACAAACAGCCTATAAAAAAAGAGGAAAAATAAAATAAAATTGTCTGTGATCATGAACCTGGATGGTCATCACTGACTCAACCGTCATCTTGGATTTACTGCAGGATCTCCACAGTTTTTTTTTTTTGGTTGATGGACCATGGATCAGATGTAAAACTGATCAGAACATATACTTTATCTATTTTTAGACGAAAGACAGAGAAAGGTATTCCACATTTTTTCTCGTCTTGTTGTCGGGTTACTTTGATTTGAAAGCCCGCCATCTAGAGATAGGCTGTTGGTTTCCCCGAGTGGCATTTAGCAGGGACTGATGATGTTCATAGGGGGAGGGGACCGGAGGGGAGGCACAGGGACTGGCCCATCACAGAAGCTCGGTCCTGATGCTACCGGCTGACCCCCGACCAGTATCGCCCACCTGGTGTAGCAGGTATCACAGCTGCTGTTGGGTGCAGCTCCCGCATGTTCCCTCGTTGGAGGCTTGAGCACGGATGTGGCTGCTACGGGGTTCCTTGTAATACTATAACGACGATATAGAAGGCCTGAAAGGCCGTCCTGTCAAGATTTGACAGGTAATTGAATTGGTTGGTTAAGAAAAAAAAAAAAAAAAAAAAGGTTGTTCATGGGAAAGGAAGATTGAAGAGAGTGCAGTGCGAGGATCTGGGTCCTCGGCAGGCCTAAGGGCCCCTGTTACAGGTGTGACCGCTCTAAGTGAAGGCGGGCCTAACAAATCTCGAGAGGCCCTCTGCTGTCAATTTCGTATTTGGGTTCCAGGCAGTTGTGACGCGCCAGTTGGTTGAGGGAAACACAGGCCGAGCAGCAAAGACATTCTACGGCCTTCCAGGCCTTTCTGGAAATGCAGGCCCTGGGCAAGAATCTCAGCCTCATACACAGACAGTTGGGAGGCCCAACCGAACGAGGCCCAGTAGCTGCAACAGAGGCACAGCCTCCTGGGGCCTACCGGAAGCTTCTGGGCAGAGGCCCAGGCCAGCCAGGCCGCTGAGGGAGGCAGGCTCTTTCCATATAGGAAAGAGCTTGCTGCCTGGTGGGGATTCGGGCACTTGCGTGCTAGCAGCAGCGCTGCTGGAGCAGATGCTCGTGGGCTGCTGCTGGCGCTGAGAGGCAAGGTGCAAGCACGTGCGGTCGTGTGTGAGTGAGGGCGCTGCTGAGGGCAGCGCCATAGCCCAGCCTCCATAGCTGGCTGGGCCTTGGACTACAGTGACGCGCAGGGGTGGTCTTTGGGTGTACAGAGGGAAGACGTGGGTGTAAGTCAGGGGAGAGAGAGAAGGATGATGATGATGATGATGAGGTGAGGGCACATACCTGGTATTGGCGATGGTCTGCATTGGGCGACATCTTCAAGTACTTCGTTGGCCGCTGATGTCAACAGTTGCATTATCAATTAGTAGGCAGACAGTAGCTGTGTAGGAAGTAGGCTGGGCGCCGAGCGCCAAGAAGGGAGAAGGGACTGGACTCTTGTGTTGGTGGTGGTGAGAGCAAGCTCTCATTGACATTGGTTTTCAGTGTTACGATTCTCGATTGGTGTTATATTGGTGCAATGTTGCTTTCTGGACACTCTGATACTTTCTGGCTTTCAATGTGTGATTGTGCATTCTGGATATTGTCATCTCGCTACTGCTCATTTTCCTTGCAGCAGGTCTGCAGGTAGTTTATAGTACTTTGTTTGACACTGTTGAATACTTCTTGTGACACGACAGTTATGGGTAGTCATTAGGGGGAATATAGTTCAATATCTAGCCTATCAGAGTGGCCCGGGGTCACTTGCCTGGGCGGGCCAAACAAACAAACAAACAAACAAACAAACAAACAAACAAAAAATATTTTTTATTTTGAATTTGGTGAAGAATTTCGATGTAACCCTGAGGCAAAAATTGTTCAGTTTATTTTTCTGCATAACATAGTTTTTCTTTCGGATTTTTTGGAATTTGTTTTTTGTTTTCTTTTTTTTGCTGGGACCTGCATAGCATCGCGTTCGGGCTCGGTGACCGAACCCGAACGCGCGGGCTGGCCACCCGGGACCTTCCTTGGTCCTTGCACGGGCTGGCCACCGGGGACCCGGGCGGCCCGGCAGGTAGCCTTGTTCAATATACTAATATAGTTGTTTTGCCCTCATCAACTTCTGTTTTGATGTGCACCCAGTTTCCAGCTTTTTAATGAGATTTCTTTAATGTTATGACCCTGGCCAATTTCGAGATACACATCCACTGGAAAGTACAAGTCCATCCAATTGCAGAAAGAAATGAATGAACTTGAGAGGTGAGAGAGGAGTAGAAGAAGAAGAAGAAGTAAGAAAGAAGAAGACGAAGATGTACAC